CTTTTTTCTTTTTGCTTATGTGGTGCTGGGGAATCGAACCCAGGGCCTCAGGCATGCAAGGCAAGCACTCTACCACTGAGCCACCTTCCCAGCCCTCCTTCAGCACTTTTTGCTCGTTATTTTTCCAAGTAGGGTCTTGCATTTTGCACAGGCTGGCTTGAACATCCTTTTGTTTTGTGGAGGGCGGGGGAGAGCACCTGTACTGGGGCTTGATCTCTGGGTTTTGTACTCTGTCCTGGCTTTTCCTCATTTTAGCACTTGAGCCATACCTCCAATTCCAGCTTTTTGCAGGTTAGTTGGAGACATGAGATAGGATTTGTCTGCCTGGGCTGGCTCTGAATCTCCATTCTGAGATCTCAGCCTCTTGAGTAGCTAGGATTATAGGTGTGAATCATTAGTGCTTGATATACCCAGTACTTTAAATTTATTGAGATTGGGATCTCATGAATTTTTTACTAGGGCTGGCTTTCAACCAAAACTCCAGAGCTTAGATCCAAGTAGTTAGGATAATAGGTGTAATCCACTGCCTCTGGTCATGGAAATGTGTGTGTTTGTGTGTGTGTGTGTGTGTGTGTGTGTGTCCTAGTCTTGAGGCTTGAACTCAGGACCTGGGTGCTGTTCCTGAGTTTGTTTATTTATTTATTTATTTTTGCCAGTCCTGGGGCTTGAACTTGGGGCCTGGGCTCTGTCCCTGAGCCTCTTTGTTCTCTACCACTTGAACCACAGTGCCACTTCTGGCCTTTTCTGTTTATATGGTATGGAGGAATCAAATCCAGGGCTTCATACATGCTAGGGAAGCACTCTACCACTAAGCTACATTCCCCGCCTTGTTCCTGAGTTTTTTGCTCAAGGATAGCACTCTACCACGTTGAGCCACATCTCTACTCCAAGTTTTTTAGTGGTTATTTGGAGATAGGAGTCTCACAGACTTCCTGCCCGAGCTGGCTTCAAATCACAATCTTCAGATCTCAGCCTCCTGAGTAGCTAGAATTACTGGTGTGAGCCCCTGGCACTCAGCCTGTTAGGGTAATTCTAGAAACTTTGATGTTAAAAACAAATAATTTGCTTCTCTAGAATTTAAGCAAACTCTGAATTGTCTTTCAGGAGTTAGTTGGTTTGTGATTGCTAGACAGAATAGATTTTACCCAAATAATTCATGATGTCTTGTGGAACATAATTGTATGTCTACAATACTCATCCTTTCAAAAATTATGAGGATTTTATCTAGACCATTTTTCTTTCCCAGGAACTGGCATTTGAACTCAATTTCTTAGGCTTTCCCGGCTGGAGCTCTACCACTTGAGCCAGACCTCAAGCCAGGCATTTTGTAAATTATTTTGCAGATCGAGTCTTTAGGATTTTCTTGCCTAGACTAGCCTCAAATCTTGGTCCTCTGGATTATCGTCTTCTAAGTAGCTTACGGTTACATGTGTGAACCACAGAAACCCAGCTTATCTGCACCTTTTCGAAATAAAAAGTTGAAACTACTGGGAGTCAGGGCCAGAATAAGACTAGAGGAAAACAAGGACAGAATATTTTGGTCCACTAGCCACCTCGGGCTACTCCCGTATGAAGCACACCGAACTATAAATTAAGTCTGCAAAGAACAAACTTTTAGCAAGAGTAGTTCTTCAAATAATTGTTTTCTTTGAAATGTAAATTGTTTTAAAAGGTTTTCTTGTTTGCTCCTGAATGTGGCAGGTGCCTTTAACACATGCTTCCTTATGTAGCAGGACGGGAAGGGGGAGCGTTTATCCAAACAGTATGCTAGGAGTGGAGGACACAGGCTTAATATTTCTGCACCTGTCTGCCTTTCACGTGCAGGAAAAGACTTTCCAAAACTTGGAGTGCCTCTCAGCAAGTCAGGAGGAGTCTACCCGTGGGGATCTGACAAATCTCTGGAAAGCTGGGACCAGCAGGAAACCTGCTCCAGGCGAGCCGCACCCCGCCACAGTCAACTCCACCGAGTCTTCCCCTCCTCCCCCCCCCCCCCCCCGCCCAGGTCTCCCTAGGTCACGGCCCCGCCCCTATTCTCCCGAGGCCCCTCGGCTTGAGGGCGGGGTCCCGACTACAACCAATGAGCGCCAGCGGACCCTGCGGGGCCGCGGCACGGTTGTCTGGGCGACCGGCGCGCGGCCCCGCCCACCACTCCGAGGCTCCCGCGCGCGGTTCAGCGCAGACTGGAAGCGTGGAACCTGGGTCTTCTGCGTGCAAGCAACGCGCGATGACCACGTGGAGCCTCCGGCGGAGGCCCAGCCGCACACTCGGACTCCTGCTGCTGGTTATCTTGAGCTTTCTGGTGCTCCGCAGGTGAGAGCCCCTCCCACAGCCTCCGTGTGCCTTGCACACACCCCAAAACCTTTCGTTTCCACGGCGCCAACCCCGAACTCCCTCGGGTGATAGTCCCAGCCTCTTCTTTCTTAGAGCTCACCAACATCCAAGAGTCCTTCTGCACCTCCAGGCACTTTGACCCTCGCAGGAGATCTAGGACTCTCGGTGACACACCAAGCAGGTGTCGCCCCCAGAGTCTCCAGGCATCTGTACAATGAACTTCGCATTCAACGTACCTGTGATGCCGAGCTCCGCTGCAGATCGACACTTTCAGTGTTCTGGGGAGGTTGGCAGACCTGGCATCACATTCCTCTCAGATGCCCCCATCACTGCCCTCTGCCTAACCCCCTTCTAATATTCACCAGGGCCCCCACATTTCATCCGGAGCCTGCCAAGAAGTTTCCAGTTATGGCGCAATATTAATGTAGCCTAGCACAGTCATAAAGTCGTTGCCCATGGGTGTCCTAGATCCTAGGCCCTGATTTGGTTACACCAGACTAGTATTGGGAAACTTTCCGTTTACCTCTTTTCACATCACCAGCTTACTCCTCGCTTCCACCCCACTTTTGAACAAATTGTTGATGGCGAGAGGTGGGGTTCGTTGATGGAATGCTTTTACCTATAGTCAGTGTAAAAGTTATCTGGGTGCTCAACTCCTGGATTTTTCTAAGCTGTGTCTATTTATAGGAGTTTACAGCCCTATCTTTCAGGTCGATTCCTGGCACTTTGCATATTCAAAACGTCTGTTGTTGCTGGGGAGCAGACCAGCAACATGGCATGGTTTGGCCCTGGAATTGCTGAGCTGAGGCTGAGCCATGGGAACTGGTGGCAGAGACACCACTGCAGCATTGTCTTTGACTTCTTTCTTTTTTTCTACCCATTACTTCACCTTTCTGGACTTTGACTGGAAGACAGAGATTTTTTTTCTTTTTTTAATGGAGATAACAGCTTAAAAATTTGAGCTTTTTTTTTTTTTTCCCCACATGAGCACATTTAGAAACTGCACCTTTTCCTGACTTACATGACTTGTTTCTGAGATAATGAGAATGCCATAATATTTTTGGGAGGAGAAAATGGATCTTTTCTCAATCTGGGGTGTAGAAGGCGCCAGTTGTTTCTAGACTTTTCTTTCTTTCTTTCTTCTTTTTTTAATTTTTTTTTGTCGGTCATGGGACTTGAACTCTGGGCCTGGACGCTGTCCCTCAGCTCTTTAGCTCAAGGCTAACACTCTATCACTTGAGCCACAGCGCCGGTTTTCTGGTGGTTTATTGGAGATAAGCTCCTACTTGGGCTGGCTTTGAACCTTGATCCTCAGATCTCAGCCTTCTGAGTAGCTAGGATTATAGGCGTGAGCCACCTCACCTGGCTGATTTTTCTCTTCTTAAAGGTGATCTCTAGCCTCTTCTTATTTGGAAGACAAGTTCTGGCTCTTGTAGGATCCCCGGCTTCCCAAGAGGTGTAAGGCTGATGTAAGCCCCGGAAGAAGCACTCAGATCTGAGACAGCAGGAACATGTTGCAACAGCAGGGTGTTCAGGAGACCTCCAGGTAGCCTGCTGTTTGCTTATTCTTGATCAGGGGTGTAGCTGTTCATGTGCTGGTCCCAAACAAGTCACCCTGAGGGACAGCATTGAGGAGTTGAGACTAGTCAGGTAGCACGCCATCCAAGGCCCAAGGAAAAGGTACGAAGAAGAGGCTGTTTGTTGTTGTCTGTCAGGTCAAAGATGGGGTGGTAGGCTAGGCTGGGAAGAAACCTGCCTTCTGAGTGGTGAGTTAACTATGTCTCCACCCAAATGGATTGTCCAATAGGAGTCACAGTAGGGCCTCTGGAGTGGCCTAGGCATAGCAACAGGGGATTAATATCTGCAACTCAAACCTGGGAATTCATTTGAACTGCTTAAGAAACTTGAGGTTTCTGCTACCCCTTATGGCTAGAGAATCAAGCTCAAGGCCATCTCTTAGGATCTTCAGAATATACATCTTTGTTATCTTGTGATTGTATCATCCTAATAACTTCTGTCTGATCTAGGCTGGACAGCAGTGATTGTAAGTTGCTCTAATAGTTGGGGTAATTGGCAGGAACAGTCTTCCTCTCCTTCATGACTTACCTTGTTTACCCCAGCCTTGACTGGGTCATTACATGAGTGGGAGGTAGGGGCCTCTCCCAGCTGCTGTTGGGGAATGTTGGTGTGGCCAGTGGAATATAGGTCATGAGGAGCTGGCTCCTCAGCTCACAGCTTTGCCAAGCCTGGCTGTGAGAACCTGCCTTTCTTCTGGACCCCAGAAGGTAGGAATTTGGAGGGCACCTAGGGTGGGGGAGGGAGGGCATCTGTTTGGCCTCAGCATTTTTTTCCTTTTCTTTTATTAACTTTTCCTTTGTTTGATTTATAGTCAGGTATTTGGTTACATCACATCTAAGCTAAGAAATATGAGGGCTAGATGGATTTCTAGGGAGGATTTTAGCCTTAGGCTTTTTAGACTGAATAAGTGCTTTTTTTTTTTTAAAAAAAAAGTACCTCTATGAAATATAATTATGATATCGAAGTGTACATACTAGTTATGTCTTCACCTGGGAAACCAGCACTATAAATGAAGATAGTGAAAATATACATCAGCTTCTCCAGATTTCTCCCTCCATTCTACCCTGATCCCTAGGCTCCAAGTAACCACTGATTTGTTGCTTTCTGCCACCAGTTGCTGGTTTCCATTCTACAGAGTTTTATGGAAATGTGACCCAAAATGTGTACTCTCTCATTTGGCTTCTTTCACTTAGCACATTATTTTGAGATCCATGTGTTTTAGCCAGTTGCCGGGCATCTTCTTTCCTCTTACCGCTCCATGAACACAAGAAAGCCTGCTTGATATGATCACAACATGGTTCCCACGGTGATTTTTTTCTTAATAAAAATGCATCACCGAGCAATACTTCAATCTCCTCTACATGTCTTATGTTTGAAATTTTAGCTGGCAAAAGGAGAAAGAAAGAGAGAGAAAAAGAGAGAGAGAGAAGGACACAGGGAGGTAGGGAAGGAAGGAGGGAGGAAGGAGAGGGTAGGAGGGGGAGGGGAGAGAGACAGAGTGACAGGGACGGGGGCAGGCCTCCAGAAGGCAGCCAGCATCCCACTCATTTCCTCTCAGTTCCATGCCATACAGATCCCAAGTTCTTTTTGAACAAAGAAAAGGGAAATCAATCAACCTTCTTCTCCTTGTTAAAGGTGGATAACTTAGGTAGGTCACTTACCTTGATCTAAATCATAGCCTGTCTTCCAAAGGTATGTGGATAAACTGTCTCTCCTACTAAGCTTTTGTGAGGTTGTGGATTTTATAAGCTTTGCCTAGGACTCTAGGACTCTACTGTGCTAAAGGCCTGACTCATAGTTTCTGGAATGTTCAAACTCTGAATGCTGTCCCTTTCATCTTCTGGTGCTGTATTCGGTATCTGGGAACTGTCAAGCATAGCAGCCAGAGCAATGGCTCAGATGGGATGTCTGATCTATTTTGTGCAGGGAAGTGTTAGCTTTGGCAGTTTCTCAGGGCCATGCTAGCCAATCATGGAGGAAATGAGCATTGTCTTGAAGCATTGATATTATTGGTGAGTTTATTTATTTAAGGGACTGGGATACCCAGAAAACTGAGAGCAAAGTATTCCATAGTCTTGACAGCAGATATATCAGAAAGGTTGGCCAAAGACTTGTTCTCACATCAGATCAAAGAAGTAGTAAGTGAAATAAAATCACTTAGATGTCCCCCCCCCCCGTTTTTGGTACAGTCCTGAGGCTTGAACTCAGGGCCTGGGCTTTGTCCTTGAGCCTTTTTTGCTCAAGGCTAGTGCTGTATCACTTGAGCACAGTTCTATTTCCCACATTTTGGTTGTTAATTGGAGATGAGAGTCTCATAGATTATTCTGTCCTGTCTGTCTGAACCACGATCCTCAGATCTCAGCCTCCTTTGTAGCTAGGATTACAGGTGTGAGCTACTGGCACCTGGCTTAAAGCACTAAGTTTTTCATGAAATGTTAAAAGTTACATTATGTTTTCTTGGATGCTCATCTGGAGAAGCATTGAAGAGATGGTGGAGTATGGAAAGAGTTCAAAGCATTTTATACCTGAAAAGAACTCTAGAACCCAGGAGCTCCTTTCTACCTTTCCATCCTGCCATCTGATCTTGGAAATATTCCATAGGTCTAAATGGAATGACATCATGGGACAGGAAGCAATACAAAATGGTGTGTGTGTGTGTGTGTGTGTGTGTGTGTGGTCCTGAGGCTTGACCTCAGGGCTCGGGAGCTGTCCTTGAGCTTTGTTTGGCTTAAAACTAGCACTTTACCACTTGAGCCACAGCTCCAGCTTTTGTGTGTGTGTGTTTAGTGGAGATAAGAGGTTCATGACCTTTCTGGCTCTGGCTGGCTTTGAACTGCAATCCTCAAATCTCAGACTCCTGAGTAGCTAGGATTACAGAGGTGAGCCACTGGTTCCTGGCTATGTTAAATATTTAAAAAAAATATGGGACTTATTAATAAAGGTATATAAGAAAAAGGCTAGTTCTTATGAGACCCAAGAATCTATATATCCCTATACACAGTAAACAGAATTTCCTTCTGTAGACCATGGAGCTGACCTCAGCATAACCTTTATGCTGACCCAACAGAAATGGAATATGCTATTTTGGAAATACCTTATCAAGTTTAAGTGAATATCTCTTATGGTCAGCAGTTCTACTGACAGAAATATATCCAACAGACATTCACTATAGCTCTGTTTAGTAGGCAAAAGATTGCAAACAATCAATGCTCATCAATAGAGGGCTGTTTAAATAAATTATGTGTCTAATGGACAAATGCATATGGCTATCTTCTTATATCTGCACATGATATCTTTAAAATAAATCATTATCTGGTGGCAGGGAAGGAAGAGGGGCTTAGGTGGAAGAGATGGCAGGTTGGGAGGTTGGAAGGGAGCTCCTGGATTTCAGAGTCATTTAT